AAGCAGGCTAAAACGCATGTTCTAAAATGTTGTATATTTTGTGACTCTGACAATGGAAAACTTCATTGCTTTACCCAACTGGAATCTAGCAACAACATCAAAGAAATGGCAACTGCTTTAGGGGATTTTGCCCTTTTATCAAAAATCGCTATTGAGGGGAAATACCATATGCCTTGTATCACGGGTTTCAGGAACAGATATAGGTCTTATAAATTGAAGCGTGATAACAAAAATGAAGGAGTCAAGGGCAATGTTAGAGCTCATATCTTATATCAATGGTGCTGTTGACGATGGTACGTTAGTTTTTACCCTGTCTGAACTACATTCTCTGTATATGGACAGGCTTAGAGACTTAGGGATCGAAAAACAAGTCAATAAAACAAGGCTAAAAGTTGCACTTCTAGAACACTTGGATGCCCAAGAACAGCATGATGGGAAAAATGTAGTTTTCGTGTTTGAAGGAGGAATGCAAAACATGTTAAAAGACGCCTTAGCAAGGAGAGACTTTATGGACGATGTTTCAATTTTAGCAAAAGCAGCTTCAATTATTAGAAAAGACATGTTTCTACACGAAGATCAATTCAAATTTTCAGGAAGTTTCCCCTCAAACTGCCAGGAAAATTCTGCACCTGCGAGTTTCAAATCACTTGTCGCCATGGTAATTAATGGAACAAACATCAAAGATCAAGACAGATGTGAATACCAAGCATGCCTGACAATAAGTCAAACAATCCTCTTTAATTCAAAGAAAAAGACTGACAATCGCCGATCTGTTGCTAAGACGCGTCACGTGCGCGAACCTCCCCTTCCTTTGTATATTGGCCTCAGTATTCACACAGCAACAAGAAGCAAGGMTCTAATAACAAAACTCTACCATCTGGGACTATGTGTATCGTATGATCGGGTGATAGAAGTTGAGGAATGGCTAGCAACATCAGCCAGCGAGCGTTATCGAGAAGATGGTCACGWCGTTCCTGCTTGTATGAAGACTGGCATTTTTTCTGTTGGTGCATTGGACAACTTAGATCACAACCCTTCATCWACGACATCCACGTCATCGTTTCATGGAACTGGAATTTCCATTTTTCAATTCCCAACTGAAGATAATGCTGGGAAAGACAGACCAGAGTTGACCATACCCCCCTCTAGCAGCGAGCGTCACACCCTACCAGAGTCATATTCCACAGTCCAGCCAGTTGAAATGAATGCCACCACCCTCTCAATTCCAGCTCGTAAAATGGCAGCCATCACTGTTGGAGAGATATGTTGGGCAGCCTGTGGTTTTAACCCAGACTGCTTTGCAAAAGGCACATGGTGTGCTCGGTGGTTGTTGTTGACTTCGATAGTTCAGCTCGGTTTCATTCGCTAAATGAAAGGTTAGTTTTCRAAATCATAATCATGTAAGTTCGGACGAACATCTGGTAGCAGAGCGAGGTTCGTTTAGCAATGTTTTTCGTCGTTCATCACTAAAAG